GAATTAAGTTGTGGTTTAGGCCAATTATACTGAGTATCCATAAATATGAAAAGTCAAGGAGTGACCTCGAACCGCAAAAAGTCAGTAAGTGAAGGCAGAGGAAGAGTATCCCTACAGTGCTGATCAAGTAGAAAAGAGAGAAAATTAGCACTCGTATATATGTGCGGACTGACACTACCAGCCTTATGCTGTAGGTCTTATTTTGGAGTTGGAATTTCAGCTTTTCATTTTTTCTCATCTTCCTGAGAGAAACAGAAAATCAAAAATGGGACACCAGTGGTACCCGTGTGAAGCTTGGCAGTGTTGTCTGCATGCTACCAGGCAACACTGTCATGGCTCTGAACTTTTCCTAACTTAGTAGCCCACTGCTGTGGGAGAACTTGTCACTGCCCCTGTATCAACAAATCCCATTTTCACAGAGTCTTATTACATTAAGGTTCATTTGGTGGTATTGTCGGTCATTCTCATTCCTCACCCCATTCCCCATGCAGAAAGTCCCTCTCGTGGTTAATTTTGTTTTCCATGAAGTCCAAAAGAAGTGAAGGTCCAGATAGCGGGGGAACCCTTTTGTAGGAAGGTCCCCCTGTCTTCCCAGCCAAGGGGACCCTTCAGAGAAAGGGTTAAGGATAAAAATAACACCACTCCAGCAGATCGTTTGGAGATTGCCTTTGCTGCTGCTGCTGTGAAATTGAGAGTAACCAAAGCACGGAGATTACGCTTCAAGGCGAAGGCTTGTGAAGGACAGTTGGGCCATTTTATATCTTAATCATACATTTGCCTTGGAGTCTAAACTGTTTGGCAGTTGTCCAGTACATGACAGCAAAAGTAGACAATAGAAGATCAAGAAATGTACATATAGGTAAGAGAGCTCTTTGGTGTGGAGTTCTCAGGGACTTCAGAAGGCTGTGAGACTGCTAACAATTACCTCCAAGGATGAATAAGACATGTTTTTCAAATGTTAGTGATTACATTGCGTTACTGCATATTTCTATAGCACGTTTACCCACAGGTTTAAATAATATGAATGGAAATTATTTTAACATGTTTCCTGAATGTACCTCTAAGTTAATGTGCAGCAGAAGATGCAATGTTGTTGGTCTAAATGGTAATGGCTCTAATAATTATGATACCATACTCTTTGGAGTATGGTGAAGTTAGCATGGGATCAATATCTAGTGGGCACAAAAATCCAAAATTCTTTTAGCTGAAATACTAATAAAAATATGAAAATAATCACCTAAAGAAGTTCTCCTGCAGTGCATAAAGGTGTTAGAGGATAGCATTTTTTCCTCCCATGGTTTTTATTAAAGCCCTTGTTCGGATAATTTCTGAAGAGTTCTTTTGTTCTTATACTTACTTCTCTGTTAATGTCATACTCCTTCTCTTCTGATAACAACTTTACTACTGTAATTAAGCTGTTGTATACATACACTCTACAATTTTAACAGAGTTCAAGTAAGCAAACAATAGTGAGGAATGGTATTAAAATAATCCTCAATAATATAATGCAAATAGATAATGGATTGCAATTAATATATGCTTTACAGAACTTTTCAGAGTCTAAGTTTTATCATCTTTTTAAAACAAGTTTGTAAGAAAGAAGCTTCATGAAACATAGGCCCTGAATATAAAAAGTTAATAGCTTGCAACTATATTAATATAATGTCTAGAATATTACATTACTTTGTTTCCAGAGATAATCAATGATGGTAATATAATACTTGCCTCTCAGAGCCAATGTATGCTTTAAATTAATTATTGCTTATAAAGCACTTTGAAGTCTTTAGCAGAAAGGTTTTGCATAAGTTTAAAAGTACTACTATTAATTTAACATCATTATTAGAGTAAAGTCAGTACTTTAGGAGCATTTGCTATACTCTGCTCAGTATCTTTTTATTCATCATATGATGCATATTAATTATTTTAACATTTAGAAAGATTAGTAATCTGGAAGTATTCCAAACCATTGTTCCAGACAGCAGTTAGATATTTGGGTGGATCATGTAAAAACAGTGAAATGGCTGAGAAAGCATGTGAAATGTTTGTTTTAAATAATATTACATCAATGGAACAGACATCTGCAGCACTGAACTTGATTTTAAACTTCTTTAAAACTTTTTTTTAAAGTTAATGTTGTACTATGTTTTTCTAAAATAGATTATTTATATGAAAAACATACTATTCCTAAACAAGTATACTGCTTTGTCTTTTATTCAGTCTTTATTTCTGTTTCTCAAATATTTTTAGGAAATCAGATTTACAGGGAGCCGGTCTTAGAAGGTAATGAGCACCTGCCACCCAATATGACTGTTGCTGTTTGGTGTTGTATCCTAACATCAACTATCAATTTCTGTGTTATCTATTTTAATTTTCATTCATGTTATTTCTTAGAATCATAGAATAGTTAGGGTTGGAAAGGACCTTAAGATCATCTAGTTCCAACCCCTCTGCCATGAGCAGGGACACCTCTCACTAAGCCATGTCGCCCAAGGCTCTGTCCAACCTGGCCTTGGACACTGCCAGGGATGGAGCATTCACAGCTTCCTTGGACAACCCATTCCAGTGCCTCCCCACCCTCACTATGAACAACTTCTTCCTTATTTCTAATCTAAACTTCCCCTGTTTAAGTTTAAACCCATTCCCCCTTGTCCTACCACTACAGTCCCTAATGAAGAGTCCCTCCCCAGCATCCTTGTAGGCCCCCTTCAGATACTGGAAGGCTGCTATGAGGTCTCCATGCAGCTTCTCTTCTCCAGGCTGAACAGCCCCAACTTTCTCAGCCTGTCTTCATACAGGAGGTGCTCCAGCCTCCTTATCATTCTCGTGGCCAACAGCTCCATGTCCTTTTTATGTTGAGGACACCAGAACTGGACACAATACTCCAAGTGAGGTCTCACGAGAGCAGAGTAGAGGGGCAGGATCACCTCCTTTGACCTGCTGGTCACACTTCTTTTGATACAGCTCAGGATAAAACAGTGTAAGACTGTTTAAAAATATGAGCAGTGATAGGCCTTGGAGGTTATAGCCTCAGAAAAAGGGTATAAAATCACTCTATCATACAGTGATTATGTGCTATAAAATAATGCTGCATGTTTACATAGTTGTTATCAACAACTTTACATACTAAATTGTCGCAAATGGAGAAGACCAAATTTTAGGGACCCTGTCCTCTGTCTTCCCCGCTAGTCTTGAACTTGTGCTTAGCTCTAGAGTTCAGCACAGGTTCCACTGGCTTTGGATCCAGTTGTAGGACTGGTATAAAACACTTTTAGAGTTCAGGGTCCAGCCAGGCTCCCCAGCCCCTCAAAGGCAGTTAGGGGTAGCAATCAGGTGAATAACAGATAGGTCTTTGTGAATGGTATAAGGTGATATTCCAGCTTCCTGAAAGCAATATTAATTTAAAAGCCAAATGTGTGAGTAATTCAATTAAGTTTCACCTGTAAGCAGTTTCCTGAGTCAGCAGTGAGGAAGTTCGATTTTCACCATGTACTAGAAAATAAGGATATTAATTACAGGTAATATTTTTTGAGTCTTCTCCTTGTGGTAGACATTTTGTTTAAAAATACTACTTGCACTACTAGGATTAGAAGAATCCTTTCTTGGTAACTGGAAATTAATGTTCTTATCCTCTTTGAATTTGTTCTACATTCTGAGATGAATTTAATATGTACTGCAAATGAATTAAGCATTGAACCCTTTGATTTCTCTTGGGATTACTAAATCAGTTAACAAAAAGGTTTGTCATCTCTAGAATGAAATGCCATATGGCTCAGGTTCACCCATGTTATTTTCAGATATATGCTAGAAGATTAAAGTATGCTATTAATATGAAATTACACATTTCAAACTGATTTTTCAGTTTATTAATAATAAGAAAGAGGTTCTTCTGTTATATCAGCAAACTAGGTACTCATGTTTCCAGCAAATGCTTCACTATATATGAAAACTAGCAAACTTCAGACTTAATTCTGCACCTTTCCATGCAGAGGAATATGTGTAAAACTGATCAAGTATGTGCTCCGGTTTCCAAGTAGGTTTAGGGTTGAGATGCTTTCTAAAAATATAGTAAATATTTTGAAATATAGACAAATCATTCCTAACTTACGTGTCACTGGAAGTATTTTAAAGTAATTCAAATAAATGAATGTAGATATTTTTAATGTTTACCCTAACTCCTGTTGATATTAATGATGACACATGCGTGCTTTCTTCTTCAGTATAAATGTTGTCCAAGACGCATAGCTATTTGTAAACTATAGGGTGTTATACATGTACCTAAATAAATAAAAATTTCCTCTTAATTGAAGACATTAGAGTCACTAGCACCATAACGATGTGGCTGCGTGGCAATTTAAGGTTGTTTAGGAACAGGCTGCTGGCAAACACTTTAAGCCAGCACTTGAAGCAGTGCTGCTGCTGCCAGAAGCTGTCCTGCCCTTCCTTTGCATCCAACAGCTCATTCTCATGAGCATCACTGCATGGTCCTACAGGTGCTGGTGCTGGCACAAGTAATAGAGCAGCTGGAGAGTACAAACAGCAGCTGTAGGTGGGAAAGAGAAGAGCTGCTTCTGGTGGTGACAGTGCTGACATAAGCTAGTTTAAATTATTTGTAAAATAACAGTCTAAATTATCGTATAAGATAGGAGATAGAAGATTGTAGTGAAATAATGATTGTGCTACTATTTTGAAGTAGCAGCTGTTCCTCATGGTTTTTTAGATCTCCAAACCTTATTTGTTTATGTTGTGTGTTCTATGCTAGCCATGGTTTTAAAGTCCAGGATTGTAAATCCTTGAAATGAGTTGGGGAAGAGTAGGCAGAGGGGTACTTCAAATCTGCTCTGTTTCTAAATAAATCATGCAATTTCATTTACAGCTACTGTGGAAAAAAGGTACTGCTTCTAAATGCTTACTTTGTTTTCCACTCAAAATATGTTAATGAGATTGTCTACATGCCAAACCCATTCTAGAGTAATGAGAATGATCTTTGTCTTTGTTTTCAGCACCAAAGGGAATACTCCATCTCTCTCCTGATGTTTATCAAGAGATGGAAGCAAGCCGCAACAAATCAGCCCCTGGTACCACTGTAAGCTATTTGTCATCCAAAGAAATGAGCCAGACTGCTAGCTCTTTCTTCAGCATATCTCCTACAACAAATAGCACAGCTACGATTGCCAGGGAACTTCTCATGAATGGAACATCCCCAACTGCCGAAGCCATAGGTCTAAAAGGAATATCTCCTGCTTCTCCCTGTTCTGCAGTGCAGCCTTCAAAACAGCTGGAGTATTTGGCAAGGATTCAAGGCTTTCAGGTATGGGAGGGGGAAAATGAAGCTCTTCAGCCAGAATCATAGCATTGCCATCAAGGTTTCACTCTTGCCCTCTTGAATGTGGGCATGCATGTAACTTATCTTGTACAATTAGCTGGTGTCCAAGACAGTTTCTGGGTCCAGGAGATATAACCCCTGCACCAATATACATGTCCCTTCTTCTCTTTTTTGTTCCTTCCTTCCATTCACCTTACTGCAGGCCATCTTTCTCTCCTTTGTTTATTCTCCTTAAATAATTACAGGCTTAAGTTGTGCTTTTTACTTGCACTTCTTTAAGAGTCTTCACCTCTTGGCATTAGAAGCTTTACATACCTCTCTGGCATTGGTTTCTCTCGTTGATCCAGAAGGTAGTGACGCACCACCTTAACTTCGCGTTTGTCTTCTGGGCCAGGTTGTTGAAGCTGTAACTCTGCTTCCCACCCTGCACCCCTTACTTGCAACCTGTAGAACAACATTTTCATCAGAAGGTGCAGCCTAGGAGCAGAGCTGGTGTCAGAGCAATGCAGAATGTTTTTGACATCACAGTCAGTACTAGAGAATGTAAGATGAACCACACTGGGTCAGTGCAGGAGTCCTTCAGCACTGATAGCCTGTATTCATCAATGGCAAATACCCTACATTTCATAGAATAGGTGTGGCAGCCTCTGTAGTACATCCAGTCATTTCTGCAGTGTGGAAGATGGGAAAAGGAAGCCTCTTCCCAGTCACTGTTACATGCAAAATTACACACTTTATGGATAGTAGCTCATTTTGCTGTGTTGCACCATCAGAGGGTAGAATGAGCTATGTAGAAATACTGTTTTTCCTGTTGTAGGATTTTTATATGGGTGTTTGATTTTGTTTTTCAGAGCTGTGAATTTGTTTCATTTGAAAAGTTGGTTTCGTATGTTCTAGCATATGTAATTTGATCATGTAACCGAATTCTGGAAATGGGAGGTTTCTGTTAGAATTTTTGCATGCCTGATAAAGAATTTTTTTCATCAAAGCCCACGTAATTTACAAAGTATGCAGTTGTTGGAAGTGATTTAAAAGAGGCTGCTAGAATTCAAGATAGTGTGTCAGATGTTCTGTTGGCATAAGCAGCATAGTTCAATTACATTTGCATACATCAGATATCACCAGTTGTGGATTTGACCTAATGCTGTTTCTGTCTAAAATGTACATTCAGCTTTCTTTTGGTCTTCATTTTTAAAGTATCGTTTTTGATTTATTAGTTTGAATGTCTCTTAATGCAAGAAACGGTAAAAGCCTAAGCCTCACTGTTAGTAGAGTTAAGCTGCTAATAGGAATTCAGTTTACCTGAGTTCCATTTGTTACCTGCCTGCAGTAGAAACAGATGAATTCTGATGAAAAGAAATTCAATCTGTGAAGTTTTCACTGCTCGCTTTCACATCTTGTCAGATTGCTTGTGTCTTCTAGTAACACTTTATTTTCATCGAACTGATGCACAGTTTGTGTTACTGTTTTGATTCCTACTTGCCTACAGTATGTGGTTACTGTAAAATGATTAGTTGTGTTTGTTCTGGTTTTTTTCATGCTTTGATTCTAGATGCTTATGTAGAAATTGTTTTTAAAGGGTCTTACCTTGAGCCAAAAATATAATCTGTTTCATCCATAAACTAGACTACTACTTTTTACTTGGCCCTGATACAAACCAAGGAGTTTGGTAGAGAATCTCAATTATTAACATCTGTCTGCTGTGTATGTAACCAATGGTTTTATACCATCTTAGCATGATTTTTAACACCTCACTTGAATAAGCCTAGTATTGATGTGAAACTCTGCCGCTGCTGGGTGGCTGAACTGAGGTGGAGCAGTGAACAGAATCTCTGTGGGAAATGGCTCGGTGGCCTGTCAGGTGCATATCACAGGTCTCTTCACTATTTCAGCCTAGAAAGCTCTTTGTGTTTAAGAGTTTAAAAGCCAATTTCTTTACAGGTTAACTTTCTCAGGCATATTTACGAAGTAGAGAACTACTGCATTTGCAAACAGCTAGCTTGTTTCATGTTTCCTGAATGACCCAAAATGATTTCTAAATTGTTAGCATGTATTTGTATTCTGGTCCAGATGATAACCATAGTTTTGTCTTTCATTGAAGAACGTATACATTCTGTTCTGTTACAATGTATTTTTGAATTTTTAAAAAAATCAATAAATACTCATATGATGTTTCATTTGTAAATGTAAAAATGTTATTTGCTTATTTGAATGGGTCTTTTTTAACTTCTCTAGCCTCAGGGGACATGTCTTTAAAATGTGGTTATTCAAATTCTTCTAAACTGTTTGTATATGATCTCAGCCATGTTCTATTGTAAGCCCCTAATATTAAGAGTTACTGGGACCAATGTATGGAAAAGTACTAAAAAAATTGCATTTTTATGTTTTATGGCATATTATTCTGACTATATTGTAATCAATAAGCAGCAGCTCAGTGTCACTGAAAAACAGGTGTTTAGCTTGGATACTTTCAAGGCTCAGGCTTCAAATGACCAGTGATAATTAAACACAATTACTTCAAGCAAGCCTTTACAAACTCTGAATAAAGCATTTTAGTGCTTGCTTCCTATTTATGAATATGATCTACCAGTTAATTGTTTTGCAGACTTTGCCTAGAGATTGTTTAAAGGAGAATTCAGCTTTGGTAAAATGGTTGTTTTTAAGTGACTATGTGGTATTTTGGCCATTGTTTTGTACTGGATTAGGAAAGGTACAGTTATTTTTGCTGACTGTTGAAGTGCAGTGAATAATTCAGAGAGTTTGTTTAAATGGAAACATACAGAGAGGCTGTTTACACACGAATAATTTTAGCTTCCAGTTCTTACTGAGGCAAAACCCAAGTTACAGGTAGTCCAGTAGGAAATTCCCCTGGGAGTTTCCATGAAGGAAAGACTATAAAATTTAAAAAGCCACGATTGAGTGCCCGCAGTCGGGCCTGGTGTGTAGCTGGCAGACATCCTTGGCTTGCTGCATTGGCAGGATTCAAAATTCTTAACTTTTTCTCTGTAGTGGCTATATAAAAACGCCTCACACGGGATATAGTTTCTACATGATGCATTCCTTTGATTGCAACGGTTGCACAGTTTGTATCTTATACGCCCTCCCACCTCCCCAGCATTTGTTTAGAGGCTTAAATGTTTCATTTTATGCATTGATACATTTAAATGTTTTCTTGTTGGGCATTTCTAAATGTTCCTTGTTCCGCCAGCCAGTACTGAAGGCATATGTTTCTGAGAGACCACATGCACAGGAGATCACATACTGGACGCTCTAGAGTCAGGTTTACTTGAGGCACACACATTTCAGTGTGTGGTTTTGAACTGTCGGCAGAGGTGGGCCTAAACTAAATTTCCACAATTGTATTAGGGTTGACACTGAGCTCAAATGTTTCCCTACTGTGGCTTTAAACAAAACAAACCCTCATTTTGCTTCAGTGGAGTCTAGGAGTTCTTGGATCTCACTGCTAAGATACGCTTGTGAAGGAAATTTCAGGGAAATTCAACCCTCAGTAAATTTTATGGAAAGAACTATAGTTTTGGTCTGATTTGGATATAATTGCAAATTTCCTGGAGCAGGTCAAATTTTGTAAAGCACCTAAATGTCATTTTCAAAATTGACACAGGCACTATGGATGCTAATGGCAAGTCATTTAAAGCTATAAATCGTCTAAAAAGGTAGATACTTTTTTTGATTTTTATAAACACCTGTGCAGATTAGGTACCTAACTTGTAGTTCACTTGTAAGCCTGGGTACCCTACATACTGTTTTGCAAGTCTGGGCTATTGCCTCACAATGTGAAGTCAGTCATACCTTTGAGACTTCTGCCCTGTGCTGTGTCGCCTGATGCAGACATGTGCTCACATGCTGTGGGTTCTCGTTCTAGTGTGATTTGTAATGGTACTTTCCTTGGTGTCTGCTCACCACTTTCATTGAAGGATGTAGTCACTTACAGAAAGAGCAAAAAGGGGCAAGTCTGGCTTCTTCAGACTCAGCATCGTATGTGAACCATCAGTCGTAGCTTGGGCCATGCTGTGACAGAGTTAGCAGTGGTTGCTAACAAGTGCAGCACCCCAGAACTGGCATCTGGCTTCCCAAGTGAAGGATGGTGGGCAAGCTTTGCATCTGACCTGCCTGCATTTGTGAAGGTTTGTGAATCCCAACCCTGGTTTTACCCAGGGTTCTCTTTCTCTGACCAATACTAAATTCACTGTTAGAACTTGTTGACAGTGTTCATGACAGTTAACAGTTACTTCCTGGTCTTTTTAACTGTGAAGAGTTTGGGCCTGGAACTCTTTCTGAAGCAAACCTAGATGCATTTATGAAAATCAGATTTGAGTTCAGTGGGAATTTTTAATACAAAGGAATGAACAAGAGATTAAGGGTTAAGCCTGAAGGAAATAATTGGGATATAAATGACTATTATCACATCACAACTTTCATATCTTGAAATTTGGTGCAGTTGCCTTTATCTTCCTTCATTAACATTTTGTGTCCAAGTATGGCGACTCATTGAAGATGACCAAAATAACAATTTCAATTCAAAAGTTCTTTTTTCCAAAGCAGGTCACTGTTAAGAAATGTTGCTTGCTTAGTTAAATGAAAATTCATTGGACTTCACTACATAGAAGCAGCTTTCCTTTCATTAGTTCTTGCTCATTATTTGCTCATCCAGCAAAATATGCATACTTAATTTGGAAGAGCTCCCTGGCAGTCTTGACATTAGCAATGTCCTTCTTCTGTTCTTACCTCAGAAGCTGTTTTTTACCTTAGTAAAAGCAACGTCTTACCCCTTTTCAGTCTACTTTTTTCTCTTCCCACAGCAAGCAGAATTTTGTTCAATGTAACTTTCATCGGTCTTTGCCAGCACACCAGGTTACTTCTTTTTTATGATCTTCAGTATAACTTAGGACTGGAAAACTAAGGCCAGATTGTTTACTTGTACAAGTTGTTGTGTCTCTGAAGGTAACTGATTGATACACCATTTG